CCCACCATGGTCAGGAGGGGCTGTGGGAGCCCAGCTGGACATAAACCCTGTGGGGTAGGGCACCCCAAAACCCACCATGGTGAGCAGGGGCTGTGGGAGCTCAGCTGGACATAAACCCTGTGGGGCAGAGCACCCCAAAACCCACCATGGTGAGCAGGGGCTGTGGGAGCTCAGCTGGACATAAACCCTGTGGGGCAGAGCACCCCAAAACCCACCATGGTGAGAAGGGGCTGTGGGGGCCCACCTGGATGTACACCCTGTAGGACAGGGCACCCCAAACCCAGCCATGGTGAGAAGGGGCTGTGGGGGCTCAGCTGGACGTACACCCTGTGGGGCAGAGCACCCCAAAACCCCCACGGTGAGAAGACCCCACACGTTCACCTCCACCACTGGTGGCAGGTGACCCCAAAACCCACCATGGTGAGCAGGGGCTGTGGGAGCCCACCTGGACGTGCATCCTGCACAACAGGGCACCCCAAAACCCAGCCATGGTCAGGAGGGGCTGTGGGGGCTGTGGGAACCCACCTGGACGTACACCCTGTGGGGCAGGTGACCCCAAAACCCCCACGGTGAGAAGACCCCACATGTTCACTCCACCACTGGTGGCAGGTGACCCCAGAACCCGCCACAGTGAGCAGGGGCTGTGGGAGCCCACCTGGACGTGCATCCTGCATGGCAGGTGACCCCAAACCCACCATGGTGAGAAGCCCCCACACCACTGATGGGAGGTGACCCCAAAACCCCCTCAGGGGTGCTGAGGACATCCCCATGACCCCCCCGGCCCTGCCCGTACCCCTCCTTGCGGCCCTCGATGGGCAGCGGGACGCGGCCACCGCGGTCCAGGGCGGAGGTGACATTGACCACGTGCAGGTCCCCGCGCTCCCAGAGCCCGGCCGAGGCCTGCAGGAACATCTCCCGCGCCGCCTCGGGCAGCAGCTCCTCCACGTCCCTGTTCCCCACCAGGAACTCGGCCTGGAACGGCGCCTCCCCGCCTGCGGGGACGGGGACACCCGTGGGGACACCCGTGGGGACAGCCCGTGGGGACAGCCTGTGGGGTGGCACCCGTGGGGACACCCCGCAGCCACCACGGGGCCATCCCGGGGGGTTTGGGGTGTTTGGCCATACCTGGAGCGGGGGTGACAGCGATGACGAGGCGCTGGGACGCGGTGGCGAAGGTGTGGCGGTTGTAGGCCAGCACCTGAGGGGACACAGGGGACACCTGGGCTGGGACAGCTGCGGTCCTGGCTCACCCCAAGAGCTGTGGGGCCATACCTGGACACTGTGGGGCCGTACCTGGACACACTGTGGGTGCCCAGCTCGTACCTGGATGCTGTGGGTGCCCAGTTCAGGGGACAGAGGGGACACCTGGGGTGGCCCAGCCACGGTCCTGGCTCAGCCCAGGAGCTGTGGGGCCGTACCTGGACACTGTGGGTGCCCATTTCATACCTGGATGCTGTGGGTGCCCAGTTCATACCTGGACACTGTGGGTGCCCAGTTCATACCTGGATGCTGTGGGTGCCCAGCTCATACCTGGACACTGTGGGTGCCCATTTCATACCTGGATGCTGTGGGTGCCCAGTTCATACCTGGACACTGTGGGTGCCCAGCTCATACCTGGATGCTGTGGGTGCCCAGCTCATACCTGGACACTGTGGGTGCCCAGCTCATACCTGGACACTGTGGGTGCCCAGTTCATACCTGGACACTGTGGGTGCCCAGCTCATACCTGGATGCTGTGGGTGCCCATTTCATACCTGGACACTGTGGGTGCCCAGCTCATACCGGGACGCTGTGGGTCCCCATTTCATACCTGGATGCTGTGGGTGCCCATTTCATACCTGGATGCTGTAGGTGCCCATTTCATACCTGGACACTGTGGGTGCCCAGCTCATACCTGGACGCTGTGGGTGCCCAGCTCATACCTGGATGCTGTGGGTGCCCAGCTCATACCTGGATGCTGTGGGTGCCCAGTTCATACCTGGACGCTGTGGGTGCCCATTTCATACCTGGACACTGTGGGTGCCCAGCTCATACCTGGATGCTGTGGGTGCCCATTTCATACCTGGATGCTGTGGGTGCCCAGCTCTGGGGCTCCGGGGCAGCCGTACAGGAAGCTGGGCTGGCTGGGGCCCCGCTGGGCCAGGCGCAGCCACCGGGGCAGGTCCGGGTGTCCCCACAGGTGGGCACGGAAGGTCACCGGGGCTGTGGGGACACGGGCAGTGGGTATGGGCACTGCCAGCTGTGCCCCCTGCCCCACCCAGCTGCTCCCCACAAAGGGATCGTCCCTGGGGGTGCTGCTCCCATTTCTGAGCTGTGACCCCAAACAGACACCCCAAGGCACTGGGGTGATGCTGGGGGAGCCCCAAACGAGATGGACAGACAGACAGACAGCCCAGCTGGGGTGATCCTGGACAGGACCATTGGCCAGTGCCCCGCCCCTTTTACCATCCCCAGTCTGGCCCTCACCATCATCATCCTCGCTGCCACTGAAGGCCTCCAGGAAGGGCTCCCTCTCCAGCTCGTGCACGAAGATGACTCCGGTCTCGGCAGGGACGTGGAGGTCGGGGAGGACGTGGTGGTCGGGGACAGTGGCCAGGGACACCCCCAGGGCCAGGGCTGCGGCCACACGTGGGGCTGGAGCCAAGGCTGGGACCATGGCCCCTCCCTGCCTCAGTTTCCCCAGTGCCCACAGACCCCTGGGGCTCTCAGAGGGGTGGGAACGTGTCCCTGCAATGCCAGGTGTCCCTGCAATGCCAGGTGTGCCCAGGGCACAGCGGGAGGATGTTTGGGGAGGGGATGGGGACAGGGACAGGATGGGGTCAGGGCTGGGACAGGGCAGGGGACAGAATGGGGACAAGGACAGGATGGGGACAAGGACAGGATGGGCCCAGCGCCTTCCCCAGCCCTGGCTGTCACACAGAGGTCCCACTCATTGTCCCCTGCCGTGTCCCACACCCCGCTGGCACCGGGACATGGTGGCTTTTTTTAGCTCTGGCATGTCCCAGCCCCGTCCCCCCCTGTCCTCCCCCTTGCACCCCCCGTGTCCCCCCCAGCTTTGGGGTTCCCCGTCCCCTCGGTCCCCCCGGCCCGGCCGTGTCCCCCAGAGGGTGACAGGGCTGTCACTCGCCTGCCAGCGCCCAGAGCCGGAGCAGCTCGGGGCCCTCCATGTTCCCGCACCGGGAGCGGGGCCAGCGCTGATTGACGGAGCCAGCGGGGCCGGGGGGGCCCTCGGGGGGGTCCCACAGGGGACACCCCTCCAGTGCCACCTCCTGTCACCGAGGCAGGCGCTCCGGGGCTGCCCGGCGGCTCCCGTGTGCCCCGGAGGGGCCCCGAGGTGTCCCAGGGCGGGCTTGTCCCGGTGCCACCATTCGGGGGTGGCGAGGTGGCAGCGGGGGGACACTTGGGGACACCTGGGGATAGGCGAGACCCCCCCGGCATGGCCACAAGCGAGACGGGAACACGCGTGTGCGCTGAGTGGGGACGGTGACACGAGCGGAGGGCGCTGGGACAGCGGGGGTGGCAGTGACGGGGACATGGGGGTGACAGTGACAGGGACATGGGGGTGGCAGTGACAGGAACCTGGGGGTGGCAGTGACGGGGACCTGGGGAGGGGGGCGATGGCAGGGGGGGAGGGGGAGGTCGTGGGGGGGCCGCTCCCCCGTGTCGCGTCACGCACAAAGGGCTGGAGGTGCCCTGGGTGACACAGGAGGGGACAGTCCCACATCTGCAGGGTCCTGCTGCCCGTGTCCCTCCCTCACTGGGGACCAGGGGTGTCCCCTGTCCCCCCCCCGCCTGCAGCAGGGACCCCCCCCCCCCCCCAACACGGCCATGGGGGCCGGGTCTGCCCCCCTCGCCCTCAGGAACGCAATGGGAAGAGAATAAAAAAGGCAAATAATCCCCCCAAAATGTCCCCCGGCCGTGCAGAAAGGGGGGGCGGCACTGTCCCCACCGCTCCGGGCCCTTGTCACAGTGTCCCCTCCTGTCGCCACTGCCAGGGGATGCGCTGCACACCCGGGGGGGTTCAGGGGGACATCGGGGTCCTGTGGGGACACCGGGGCCGGGGGGAGCTTTGGGCGTGGGGGGGCCGGGGAGGGGGAGCAGGGGACATGTGGGGGTGACAGGGGACACAGGGGCACGGGGACAGAGCCGGAGGGGACACAGGGACAGGATGGGGGACGGGGGTACAAACTGGGGGGACACGGGGATAACGGGGGGGGGGGTGTGGGTACAAACCTGGGGGGGGGGGGGATATGGGGACATGGGGACAAACCCGGGGGGGTGATGTGGGGACAGGATGGGGGGACACAGGGGCAGAGCCGGGGGGCGGCTCCAAATCTGGGGGGTGCAGGGACGAGACTGAGGGGACACGGGGACAGAGCTGCGGGAGAGATGGGGACAGAACTGAGGCGGGCGGGGGGGACGACGCAAGGGGACAGAGCTGGGGGAACACACGGGGACAGATCTGGGGAGGGGGACACGGGGACAGAACCGGAGGGGAACACGCGGGGACGGAACCGGGGCGGGCGGGGGGGACACGCGGGGACAGGAGCGGGTGGGGACACGCGGGGACAGAGCCGGGGGGTGGCAGCACGGCAGATCCGGCGGGGGGGGCCCCAGGCTGCACAGCGCGGTGCCGGGGGGGCCCCGCCGCAGGGAGGGGACCCCGGAGCGGGCGCGGGGAGCGGAGCGCAGCGTCCCCATGGCCGGGCTGCGGCGGCGGCGGCGGCGCTGAGGCCGAAGCGCGGCTGAGGAAGAGGAAGAGCGAGCGCTGCTCAGACCCAGAGGGCTCTGCGGGCAGCGGGGCGGGCAGAGCGCGGCGGCGGCGGCGGCGGCGGCGGCTCCATCACCGGCGCGCAGAAAAGGGGAAGAGGAGGAGGAGGAGGAGCGGGGAGGAAGGAAGGAAGGCAGGAAGGAAGAAGCGGCGCGGCGGAGGGGCCCGCGGGATGGCCATGGCCTGACCGGGCCGGGGCAGCGCTGCCCCCCGGCACAGCCCCCCCGGCACAGCCCCCCGCCCATGGCGCGGTAGCGGGCGCGGGGCCCGGGGGCAGCGGCGGCGGTGGCGGCGAGCGATGCGGGCGCCGGGACCATGCTGAGGACCGAGGCCGGCGGGGCCGGGGGGGCCCCCTCGGCCGGGGGCGCGGCGGGGGCCGGGGGGCTGCGCAGCGCGTCCCCGCACCGGAACGCCTACGAGGCCAGCATCCAGGCCCTGGCGCCCACAAAGGAGGCCGACGGCGAGGACGGCAAGAAGAGCCGCGGGAAGAAGTATGGCTCCAACGTGCATCGGATCAAGAACATGTTCCTGCAGATGGGGACGGCGCCCGGCCCCGAGGGCGCCTGCGACCTGGCCAAGGCCAAGGAGAAGCCGGTGCGCCTGTCCCTGCCCCGCGCCGGCAGCCTGGGCGATGGTGTGGACCAGGGCAGCCTCCTCAAGCTGGGCACCAGCGTCTCGGAGCGCGTCAGCCGCTTCGACTCCAAGCCCGACAAACCCTTCTCCAAGCTGCAGGAGACCCGCAAGATCTTCGAGAGGAGCCCGCAGGAGAAGGCCACCAGCACCAAGCTGCTGCTGCGCAAGGAGCGCGCCGGCTTCCAGGACCGCAAGCTGGACGTGGTGGTGAGGTTCAACGGCAGCACCGAGTCCTTGGACAAGCTGGACGCCGACGCCGTGTCGCCCACCGTGAGCCAGCTCAGCGCCGTCTTCGAGAAGGCCGACCTGAGGAACAACCTGCACAAGGCGCAGGGCCGGGCGGCCGCGCCGCTGGGCGCCAAGGCGGTGGCCAAGAGGCCCAGGGTGTTCACGCCTGGCACGCGCGGCGATGGCACCGGCGACGGGCACAGCACCCCGGCCCGCGCCCGGCCGCCCGAGGAGGAGAAGGCAGCGGCGAAGAGCGGGCGGCCGGCGGAGAAGGAGGCGGCCGCGCCAAGGGTGCAGGAGGTGTGCAAGATCAAGCCCGTGGAGGTGGAGGAGAGCGGAGAGGGCGAGGAGGAGGAGGAGGAGGCGGTGGCGGGTGAAGCGGTGCCCGCGCCCCAGCCGGCCAAAGGGGATGAAGGCCCGGCGGCGCCCCGGGCGGACGGGGGCTCGGGGGCGGCCGCGGGCGACGAGGGCGTCAAGGGCGAGCGGGCGGAGGAGGGCGATGGCTCCGAGGAGGCCAAGAAGGAGGACTTCTCCGAGGCCGACCTGGTGGACATAAGTGCCTACAGCGGGCTCGGGGAGGACTCGGGGGGCAGCGGGCTGGAGGAGGAGGAGGAGGCCGAAGGGCTGTACGAGCCCGAGTCGGGCTGCGTGGAGATCCCGGGGCTGTCCGAGGAAGAGGAGCCCGTGCCCAACCGCAAGATCCAGTTCAGCACGGCCCCCATCCAGGTGAGCCTGGCTGGGCAGGGAGGGAGGGCAGCCAGGGGTGAGGGGTGCCAGGGTGAGGGTACCCCAAGGTGAGGGGTACCAGGGTGATGGGTACCCCAGGGTGAGGGGTACCAGGGTGATGGATACCCCAGGATTAGAGGCACCAGGGTGATGGGTACCCCAGGGTGAGGGGTGCCAGGGTGATGGATACCCCAGGGTGAGGGGTATCCCAGGGTGAGGGGTACCACGGTGATGGATACCCCAGGATTAGAGGCACCAGGGTGAGGGGTACCCCAAGGTGAGGGGTACACCAGGGTGATGGGCAGTCCAGACTGGGGTATGTGACCCCCACAAAATCACCCCTTTAGCAGGGATAGAAAAAGGGGCTGGGGGTCTGTGTCTCCATGCTCTGTGCCCCCCATGGGACAGGGCTCCCTGTCCCTGTCCCTGTCCCTGTCCCTGTCCCTGTCCCTGTCCCTGTGCTGGGGGAAGCAGGGCCTGGGCCTGGTTAATTATCTGGTTAATGAAGGGCCATGCCTGGACCCCCAGGCCCAGTGTGACAGGGACAGGTGGCCCTGGGACCCAGCACAGCACCCAGTGCCACCCCCGTGTCATGCCCAGGCTGGGCCCAAACCGCTCCATATTTTGGGTGGGGATGCCTGAAATGCCCCGGAGTGGGGCTGGGGCATCCCGTGGGCTCCTCCCTGCCCGGGGGTCCCTGGGGACAAGGTGGCCATGGGGGGGATGTGCCCCCCCGTGTGCCCAACCCGGTGCCCAGGACGGTTTCGGGAAGTGGAGGCAGAGGAGGAAGGGGAGGAAGGGAGGAAGGGAGGAAGGGAGGAAGGGGAAGTGCCTCGGCAGCGTGGCCGGGTGGGCGGCATCACCCCCCCCTCCCGCTCCCGACAGGGATCCTGCGGGGTTCGGGGGTCCCCAGCCGGGATGGGGAGGGGATAAAGGGGCCGTGCAGCTATTTCGGGGTGTCCCCTCCCTCCCGCCCGGATCCCCCCGGCCGCAGGAGCAGCGGGTGCTTTGTGCCGGAGCCGGGTTATTTTTAGAGCCCGGCCTATATTCTGGCTCTGAGTCAGAGCGGGTGGGTGGCCCCACCTGGGACGGGGACAGGGGACAGGGGACAGCCGCTGCCATGGCCCGGCTGCCTGGGGACAGCGGTGGCCGTGACCCGGGGCGCTGCAGCCTGAGGGTGGCCTTGGTCCCGTGGGATGTGCCAGCCCAGCCCCGGGAAGGTGCCCCGGCCGTGGATGGGGATTTTGGGATGCTCTGCTCACCCCATGGATGGGGATTTTGGGATGCTCTGCTCACCCCATGGATGCAGTTTTTGGGATGCTCTGTTCAACCCCATGGATGGGGTTTTGGGATGCTCTGCTCACCCCATGGATGCGGTTTTTGGGATGTTCTGCTCGCCCCATGGATGGGGATTTTGTGGTGCTCTGCTCACCCCATGGATGGGAATTTGGGATGCTCTGCTCACCCCACAGATTAAGGTTTTGAGGTGCTCTGCTCACCCCATGGATGGGGTTTTTGGGGTGCTCTTCTCACCCCATGGATGGGGTTTTTGGGATGCTCTGCTCACCCCATGGATGGGGATTTTGGGATGCTCTGCTCACCCCATGGATGGGGTTTATGGGATAGAGCAGGTTTTGGGATGCTCTGCTCACCCCATGGATGCAGTTTTTGGGATGCTCTGCTCACCCCATGGATGGGGATTTTGGGATGCTCTACTCATCCCATGGATGTGGTTTTTGGGATGCTCTGTTCAATCCCATGGATGGGGATTTTGGGATGCTCTGCTCACCCCATGGATGCGGTTTTTGGGATGTTCTGCTCGCCCCATGGATGGGGATTTTGTGGTGCTCTGCTCACCCCATGGATGGGAATTTGGGATGCTCTGCTCACCCCACAGATTAAGGTTTTGAGGTGCTCTGCTCACCCCATGGATGGGGTTTTTGGGGTGCTCTTCTCACCCCATGGATGGGGTTTTTGGGATGCTCTGCTCACCCCATGGATGGGGTTTTTGGGATGCTCTGCTCACCCCATGGATGGGGATTTTGGGGTGCAAAGCCTCTCAGCTGGGGGGGGGGCACATGTAGGGGTGGGTGGGGTGCACACCCAGGTGTTAGAGCACCCCAAACCCCTGCCTGGGTGATGCTGAGCCCCCCAAACCCACTGGAGGGAGGGTGGGTGACATTGGGGACCCCCACGCATCCCAGCACTGGAGTCACATTGCAGCCCCTTCCCCACATCCCAAATCTCCCAGGACCCCGGGGGATGGGGGGGACAGGATGGGGGGCACAGCAGAGGACCCCCCCAGGGATTTCCTGTGGCCAGGGGGACATCGTTCTGTGTCCCCTGCCCTGCTCCTCCCTGTCACCCCTGGGTGCCACACCGTGGGTCCTCCCTGTCCGTGGGTGTCACCAGCCTTTGTCCCCTGACACTGGGCCCTAATTCCCTTTGTGGCCAGGCTTTATCCCGTGCTGTGTGATCCCTAATCCCCTCGCACCAAGGGGCTGGGGCCCCTCCAGGGACATCTGCCAGGCCTGGCCAGCCCCTCCCCACAGCCCCCAGGGAGCAGGGCATGGCTCCAGCCTGGGCACAGCAGCCTGGTGCCCATCCCAGCTCAGCCAGGGAGGCTCTGGGGTGTCCAGGCACCGTCCCCTGTCCCCGAGCCACCCTCATTCCCTTTGTCCTTCCCAGCTCCCCCTGTCACCATTTGGGGCCGGGGTTCTCCAGGGGCTCGGTTCCATCCTGGGGGGCACCTGTGGGGCGTTTCCCCCCTGGCTGAGCCCTCCCTCGTGCCCCCAGGTGTTCAGCACTTACTCCAACGAGGATTACGACCGCCGCAATGAGGACGTGGATCCCATGGCGGCCTCGGCCGAGTACGAGCTGGAGAAGAGGGTGGAGAGGCTCGACCTGTTCCCCGTGGAGCTGGAGAAAGGTGGGTGCTGCCCCCAGAGCTGTCTCCAGGGCAGCCTGAAGGTGCCAGCCCGGCAGGACACGGCTCTGTGTGCCCGCAGACTCAGAAGGGCTCGGCATCAGCATCATCGGGATGGGCGCGGGGGCCGACATGGGCCTGGAGAAGTTGGGAATCTTCGTCAAGACGGTGACAGAAGGGGGGGCAGCGCACCGGGACGGCAGGTACGGCTGGGGACAGCGGGGCAGGGCTGCCAGGGCTGCCCTGGGGCTGGGCAGGGGCTGTGAGCCTGCCCTTGTGCCCAGGATCCAGGTGAACGACCTGATCGTGGAGGTGGACGGCACCAGCCTGGTGGGGGTCACGCAGAGCTTCGCCGCCTCCGTGCTCAGGAACACCAAGGGCCGAGTCAGGTACGAGCTGGGCCTTGGGGGGTGGGCAGCCCTGAGACCCCCCCCAGGCCCTGCTGAACCCAGGCATCCCTGCCCCACAGCCTGGCCCCACAGCCTGGCCCCATCTGCCCCCAGAGCGCCACCCTGGTGCCCCCCAAAGTGCTCCCAACTCATCCTCACCCCTTGAATGGAGACCTGCAGGGCTGTCCCCTGGCTGTGCCCTGGGTGTCCCCTGGCTGTGCCCCCCCTGGATGTCCCCTGGCTGTGCCCCCCCTAGATGTCCCCTGGCTGTGCCCCCCCTGGATGTCCCCTGGCTGTGCCCTGGGTGTCCCCTGGCTGTGCCCTGGCTGTGTCCCCTGCCTCCCCCCCTGACCCGTGGTGCCCCCCAGGTTCCTGATCGGGCGGGAGAAGCCAGGGGAGCAGAGCGAGGTGGCGCAGCTGATCCAGCAGACGCTGGAGCAGGAGCGGTGGCAGCGCGAGATGATGGAGCAGCGCTACACCCAGTACACTGAGGATGACGAGGAGGTGAGGGGACAGCGCTGCCCTGCAGGGACACAGGCTGGGGGTGGCACGGTGGGGACCCTCCAGGTGCCAACCCTGCCCCTGTGCCCCCCACAGACTGGGGAGTACGCCACGGACGAGGAGGAGGAGATGAGCCCCATGTTCCCCAGCGGGGAGATGGCCATCGAGGTGTTCGAGCTGGCTGAGAACGAGGACGCGCTGTCCCCCGTGGAGATGGACCCCGAGAAGCTGGTGCACAAGTTCAAGGAGGTGAGGAGGGGCTGGGAGAGGGCAGGGGGTGCCCACCCAGGGGGCTGTGCCCACCCTGTGCCCACCTTGGCTCTCCCACAGCTCCAGATCAAACACGCCGTGACTGAGGCTGAGATCCAGCAGCTCAAGAGGAAGGTGAGGGGAGGTCCTGCCTGCCCAGGGGTGGGGGGACACCCTGACAGCTGCCCTGGCACCCTGAATGTCCTTCTCCACCTGCCCTGCATGAGCCATTCCACGTCCTGCCATGTCCTGCCATGTCCTGCCTGTCACCTGGCTGTGCCATGTCATGCCATGCTGTGCCATGTCCCATCCCCATGGCTCCCATGGCTGTGCCATGTCCCACCCTGTCTCCTGGCTGTGCCATGTCCCATCCCCTGGCTGTGCCATGTCCTGCCTGTCACCTGGCTGTGCCATGTCATGCCACACTGTGCCGTGTCCCATCCCCATGGCTGTGCCATGTCCCATCCCCTGGCTGTGCCACATCCTGCCTGTCACCTGGCTGTGCCATGTCATGCCACACTGTGCCGTGTCCCATCCCCATGGCTGTGTCACGTCCCATCCCCTGGCTATGCCATGTCCCACCCCATTCCCTGGCTGTGCCGTGTCCCACCCTTGGCTGTGCCATGTCCCACCCCACCCCCTGGCTGTGCCACACCCCGTGGTGACACCGCTGTCCCCAGCTGCAGTGCCTGGAGCAGGAGAAGGCGCGCTGGAGGGCCGAGAAGGCCCAGCTGGAGCAGAGCGTGGAGGAGAACAAGGAGCGCATGGAGAAGCTGGAGGGCTACTGGATGGAGGCACAGAACCTGTGCCAGGCCGTGGACGAGCACCTCAAGGAGACCCAGGCCCAGTACCAGACCCTGGAGCGCAAGTACAGCAAGGCCAAGCGGCTCATCAAGGAGTACCAGCAGAAGTGAGGGCAGCTCCCAGTGTCCCCTCGGGAAGGGACCTGTCCCCAGGGTGTCCCACCCCTCCCAGGCACCCCTGTCCCTGGGCACAGACTGTGCCACTGGCCTGAGCCATCCCCTGGCCGTGGGTCCATCCCTGGCCGTGGGTCCATCCCTGGCCGTGGGTCCCTCCCTGGCTGTGGGTCCATCCCCTGGCCATGGGTCCCTCCCTGGCTGTGGGTCCATCCCTCGCTGTGGGTCCATCCCTGGCCGTGGGTCCCTCCCTGGCTGTGGGTCCATCCCCTGGCTGTGGGTCCATCCTTGGCCATGGGTCTATCCTTGACTGTGGGTCCATCCTATGGCCATGGGTCCATCCCTGGCCGTGGGTCCATCCCTTGGCTGTGGGTCCATCCTTGACTGTGGGTCCATCCCTGGCCGTGGGTCCATCCTTGGCTGTGGGTCCATCCCCTGGACACCAGACCCTCCCCGGGCAGGCCCTGTCCCTGTGCCCTTGGTGTGGAGCCCTTGAAGGGCTCTGAGCCCTCTGTGGCACCCCCTGTCCCTGGGCACAGCCCGTCCTTTGGGCAGGGACACATCCCTGAGGTACCAAACCCTCCCTGGGCACCCTCTGGCTCCAGGCACGGACCTTCCCTGGGCGTGGGCTCACCCCTGGGGAACCAACTCCTTCCCCTTGACTCAGACCCATCCCTGGGGTGCCAAATCCTTCTGGACCCCCTTTGTCCATGGGCAAGGACCTTCCCCTTGGCACGGATCCATCTTGGGCAGGGCCTGGAGCACCCTGGGACAAAGGATGAGCTTTGAGCTCCCTTCTGAGCCCAACCCTTCCAGAATCCCACGATCCATGGGGCACCAGCTCCTTCCTGAGCATCCCTGGGCATGGCCCATCCTCTGGGGGATCCCTGGGCGCCCCAACCCAGCAGGGTCCTGCCCTGGCACCCAAACCCCTGGGACGTGCCCTGGCTGGGGACGGGCACCCACGGCGCGGGTCCCCACAGGGAGATCGAGTTCCTGAAGAAGGAGACGGCGCAGCGGCGGGTGCTGGAGGAGTCGGAGCTGGCGCACAAGGAGGAGATGGAGAAGCTGCAGGAGAAGGTGGGCACGGGGCGCCGGGACGCGGGATGTCCCTGACCCCCTGCCTGGCCCTGCCCAGCCCCGCCGTGCCAGCGATGGATCCCGGGATCTGCTCGGGATCGGCCGCCAGATCCCACCGGGCGGCCCCGGAGCTCCGGACTGAGCCACGGATCCCGCACCGGACCGTGGGGGATCTGCTCCCACCGGACCCTGCTGCTCCTGCTGCCGGATCGCCCGGGATCTGCTCGGGATCTGCCTGGGATCTGCTCCCCGAGCCTCCTCCTGGGCCTGGATCCCGCTCTGGATCGCAGCGGATCTGCCCGGCCTCCAGCTCTGGGGCCTGACGTGCCCTGAGGGGCGAGAGGGATCTCCTGGGGCAGTGGATCCCAGCTGTGCATGGGGGATCCACGGGGTCCTGGTGACCAGAACTGAGTGAGGGGGATCCCAAAAGATCCTGGTGACCAGAACCGAGCCTGAAGGATCTGTGGGATCCCAGTGACTGGCACCAAGCGCAGGGGATCCCAAAGGATCCTGGTGACCAGAACCGAGCGCAGGGGATCCCAAAGGATCCCGGTGACCAGAACTGAGTGAGGGGGATCCCAAAGGATCCCAGTGACCAGAACTGAGCCTGGAGGATCTGTGGGATCCCGGTGACCGGCACCAAGCGCAGGGGATCCCAAAGGATCCCAGTGACCAGAACTGAGTGAGGGGGATCCCAAAGGATCCCGGTGACCAGAACTGAGTGAGGGGGATCCCAAAGGATCCCGGTGACCAACACCGAGCGTGGGGGATCCCAAAGGATCCCAGTGACCAGCACCGAGCCTGGGAGGATCTGTGGGATCCCGGTGACTGGCACAAAGCCCAGGGGATCCCAAAGGATCCCGGTGACCGGAACCAAGCCCAGGGGATCTACGGGGTCCCGGTGACTGGCGCCGAGTGCGGGGCCCGGCGCTCCCGTTGGGATCCCATGCTGGTCATGCTGGATCCCCCACGGGTCCTGCGGGGCAGAGTGGATCCCAAAGGATCCCAAAGGGTCCCGCCGGGGGGGTCACCGGGGAGGGGCCGGCCCTGCCCGGCCGGGGGGCACCAGGGCACAGCGGGGAGGTCCCCAACACCCAGCAGAGCCCCCCCCCCCCACTCAGCCACCTCCATCACCCCCAAAATGTCCCCTGGCATATCACAGAGACTCACCCAGCACCTGCCTGCAGCCCCCTGCCCATCCCAACCCATCCCTGTGCCCCCCATGTGTCCCCAGTCACCCCCACGTGTCCCCAGTCACCCCCACGTGTCCCCCAATCACCCCAGTGTGTCCCCCAGTCACCTCTGCGTGTCCCCCAGTCACCCCAGCGTGTCCCCGAGTCACCCCAGTGTGTCCCAGTCACCCCAGTGTGTCCCTCAGTCATCCCTGTGTCCCCAGTCTGCCCCCCACGTGTCCCTCATTCCCCCCGCTGTCCCTCACTTCCCATCTCTGTGCCCCATCCGGGTGTTCCCTGTCCCCCCTGTGCCACCCCCCATGTCCTGCCCCCCTTTTCCCCTCTCCCTGTCCCCATGGCTGTGTCCTCCCGCCGTGTCCCCTGTCCCCATGCGTGTCCCCGTGTCCCCCCCACCCCGGTGTGTGTCCCCCCCCGGCCCCCCCCCGCTGAGACCTGTCCCCTTTGCTGTTTTTCAGATCTCCGAACTGGAGGCCAAGCTGCAGACTTTGAAAAATTCCAACCCGACCTAAACCACCCTCAAAAACCGCAGCGATCCTGGGGGGGGGCGGCCCCCTCACCCCCCCGCCCCACCCCGGCCCTGCCCCCTCCCCTTCCCAGCCCTTCCCCGGGGGGAGAAGGGGGGGGTGAGACCCCGCCAAGGCCTCCTGGTGCCCCCCACCCCCCTCAGGGGGCACAGACGGGGAGGGGTCGGGGGGGACGCCCCGCGTTCGTGTCTGTGTCCAGTGTGAGTCTCGTGGTGACGTGATGGACCCGCGGGGGGGGGCGCGGCCCCCCCCAGGCCTCCCCCTCCCCTCGACGTGACCCTCCCCCCCGCCCCCCCGGACACAGCTGGCACCACCCCAGATGTGAGCCATGCTGGGGGGGACGCTGGGAGCCCCCCCAGACCCAGCTCCTTCTCTTGGGACTCACCGGAGCACGGCCGGGGGGGGAGCCTTTACCCCCCCCCACCCACCCACGGACTCACCCCCAGCCCCACATCGAGGTGACCCCGGGACCATCGCCATGGGGGGGGACCCCGAATGTCCCCCCCCCGACCCCCTCAGTGCCACCATCGCCGGGCAGGGGGGACCCCCGAGCCTTTGCCAAGCCCGCAGGGGATGGGGGGGCACCAGCCCCACTGCCCCCCCCCCCCCCGGGAAGGGGGCGCTGCCTGGCACCCCCCTCTGGGGACACCCCGCTGCCCCCCGACCCCGGGGCTTTCGCCTTCCCCGGGGAGGGGGGGGTCCCCTCTGGGGTGGGGGCGATGCTCCCACCCCCTCACCTGTAAATAACCCCCCCCCCCCAAATCACAGCATTTCTCTGGGGCTGGGACACCCCCCAACCTCCGGCCGCCCCCAGCCGGGCCGGGGGGGGGTCCCGCCCTTTGATTTTCATTTCTATTTCGCCCCCCGCCCCCCGCCCCCGAGTCTCCGACAGTAACTGGATGTGGGGGCAACTGGGAGCCAGAGCTGGTTATACTGGGAAGGGGAGGCGGGGGGAGCGCGCGGGGCGGGGGCGGGGCGGGGCTGGGGGGTCCGACTGGATTGGAGCCACTTTGGGGAGGGGGGTGGGGGCTATTTAAAAAGGGGGGGGGGGCGGGAGGGGGCGTGTCCGGGGAGCGCGAGCCCCGGGGGGGGGGGCCGGGGTTATTTAATCTCACACGTGTACCTGTGGGTGTATATACTATATATAATGTACCTATGTACCACCGCTCCCGCTCTCCGCGCCCGCCGAGACCCCCGCCCCATAAACGCGACCCCCGCCCCATAAACGCGGGCTCGGCCTCGCCCCCCGCCTCCTCCTGCCGGCGGATGGGGCGGGGGCACCGGGGAGGGTGGAGGGGATGCGGGGAATCATTTGGGGTCACGGCAAGGAATGGGAAGGGGTTGGGGGGCACTGGGGAGGGTGAGAAGAACTGGGGACATTGAGGGGGGACTGGGAAGGATGGGGGGAACTGGGAGTGTTTTGGGCTGGTGGGAAGAACTGGGGGGGCAGAGGGGAGTGGGCAGGGTGGGGGATATTGGGAGGACTGGGAGTGGTTTGGGGTAGGGGGGCAGAGGGGCGTGGGCAGGGTGGGGGACACTGGGAGGGACTGGATGGCCCTAGGGGACACTGGGAAGAACTGGGGGGCACTGGGGGAGATGGGCACGGTGCGGGGGTGCACGGGGAGGATCCCCTGAGCTGGGGGACCCTCGGGGACGATGGGGACCCTGCGGCGGGCGGTGCCAGCGCTGCAGCCGTGCCCGTGTCCTGCCGGTCGCTGTCCCTTCAGCACCGCCGCGCGTCCCTCCGTGCCCGGTGTCGCCGTGCCCTCGGTGCCCCCCGGCGCTGTCCGTTCAGCACCGGGCTCGTGTTCGCTGTCCCTCGGGTCCGTCCCCCCGCCCCCGGTGTCCGTTCAGCCCCGGGCTCGTTCCGGGCGGGGCAGACCCCGCCCCCGCCGCCCCCGCCGTTTCCGGGTTCCTGTGCCCCCCCCGCGGCCCCCGGCCCGGCGGGGCCGCTCGGCAGCGCCCTCCGCTCCCACCGGCCCCGAGCCCGGCCCGGCCCCGAGCCCGGCCCCGAGCCCGGCCCGGCGGGAGGCGAGCGGGGCCGAGCAGGATGCCCGAGGAGCGCGGGTGAGTGGGGAGGGGGGGATCGGGCAGGGCGTCACCCCTGGGCAGCGGCCCCGGTACGGCCCCGGTACAGCCTCGGTACAGCCCCAGCCTCCGGTACAGCCCCGGTACAGCCCCAGCCCCCGGTACCGCCCCGGTACAGGCTCGGTACCGTCCCGGTAATGCCCCGGTATAACCCCAGTCCCATTACAGCCCCGGTACGTTCCCGGTAGCTCCCCTCCCCCGGGACAGCCCCATGGCCTCGGTTCGATATTCCCGGTCCAGACTCATCCCCTCGGTTCGATATTCCTGGTCCAGACTCATTCCCGGTCCGGCATTCCCGGTCCAGCCCCACCCAGGGACACCATTCCCGGTCCAGCCCCCCCCGCCGGTACCGGCCCCTCCCGGGGCTCGTTCCCCGCCCCCCCCGATGCTGCCGAGGCCCGAGGAGCCCCCGCCCCCCCCGAGACTCCCCGAGCACCGGGGGCGGGGGGGTTTAACCCCTTCCCGGCCGCTCTGCAGCGGGGGTCCCCAGCCCCCGTCCCACGGGAGGCACAGAGGGGTTGGTCCCTCCCCCGATGTCCCCTCTGTCCCCAGCCCTGTCCCACCATGTCGGTCTGTCCCTCCCCCTGATGTCCCCTCTGTCCCCAGCCCTGTCCCACCGTGTCGGTCTGTCCCTCCCCCTGATGTCCCCTCTGTCCCCAGCCCTGTCCCACCATGTCGGTCTCCAAGCTGCAGGACACGGACGAGGTTTTTGGTGAGTTCCTGTGGGGGGGCCTGGGGTGCAGAACCCCCCCTTGGGGTGCAGAGCCACCCGTGGGTCCCCACCCCCCCTCAGTGTCCTCCTGTGTCCAGGCTTGGGGACAATGTGTGCTTGGGGACACGGGGATGTGCGTGGGGAAGGGGACATGGGGACACACACGGGGGATGTGAGGGTGACAAGGACATGGGGACACGTCCAGAGCACACAGGAATGGGGGACAGGGGTGTGCAGGGGGTGACAGGGACCTGGGGACACAGAGCCACCCCTCGGGTGGGGTTGGGGTGCAGGGCTCAGAGCAGGGTGGGGATATTGGGGGGAGCCTGGTGGGACTTGGGCAAAGCGTGTCCCCCCTGGGTGACGGGGACACTCTGTCCTCAGGGTCACCCACTCCTCTGTCCCCATGCTGGGCCATCTCTTTGAACACTTCTCTCTGTCCCCCTGTCCCCTGTCCCGCCCCCCCGGGGTGCCCCATCCATGTCCCCAATGCTCCCCTCTCCTCGTGCCCCCTCCTGTCTTCCTGGGACTGCCCACCTGTCCTTTGGCTCTCCTGCCCTGCCCCTGTCCCTCTGTCCCCCTCTGTCCCTCTGTCCCCTCTCCGCTGGGCTGGCCTTCCCTGTCTGTCCACCTGCCTCCAATGCTTCCCTGTCCCTTTCTCCCTGCTCATCCCTCCCTCCATCCATCCATGGATCCATCCATACATCCCTTCATCCATCATCCATCCATCCATCATCCATCCCTCCATCCATCCATCCCTCCATCCATCCATCCATCCATCCATCCATCCATCCATCCATCCATCATCCATCCATCCATCCATCCATCCATCCATCCATCCATCCATCCATGGGTCCATCCATCCATCATCCATCCATCCATCATCCATCATCCATCATCCATCCATCCATCCATCCATCCATCCATCCATCCATCCATCCATCCATCCCTCCATCTATGTCCATCCATCCATCCATGTCCATCCCTCCATCCACCCCCACATTCCCGCTCTCTCCCACCCCGCGCCATCCCGTTGTCCGTGTGTCTGTCCTGTCCGTCCGTCTCTCTCTGCCCCGGTGTCTCTGTCACGGGCAGATTTTACCGCTGTGGTTCCAGAGACGCCGCGTTTGGACAGCAGCCTGCACAAGGCCCGCGCCCGGCTCCTGGCCCGCGGCCGCCGCCAGCGGCCCTCGCGCTCCCGCCTGCGCGACAGCGCCAGCTCCACCGAGGGCGACGAGGGGCCCGAGGCCGCGGTGAGACGGGACAGGGGCCTGGAGGTCACGGGGATTGGGGACACCAGGGATGGACTCAGGGGACACCAGGCCTGGAGGTCACAGAGATTAGGAACCTCAGGGACAGAGTCAGAGGACACCGGGGCTGGGGGTCACAGGGATTGGGGACTTTAGGGATGGCCTTTGGGGGATGCCAGGGCAGGGGGTGTTACAGGGACTGGGGACCTCAGGGATGGACTCAGGAGATACCGGGACTGGGGGTGTCACAGGGATTGCCTTGGGGATGGCCTTGAGGGACAGTGGGGCTGGGGGTGTCACAGGGGCAGGGGACTCCAGGGACCCCAGGGACAGGTCTGGGGGCACCACGCACACCAAGGATGGGTTGGGGGATGCCGTGTTTGGGGGCAGGGAAGGTGGCCGAGGGGGCAGCCCGAGGGGCTGCAGGGCTCTGACCCCTGCCCGTGCCCCCGCAGGGCACCGAGGGCGAGGGCAGCCCCCTGGACCCCTCGCCCTTCTCCCGCACCGATGGCTTCTCCTTCGAGCCGGGGGTGGCACGGCCGGGCCTGGGGGACCCCCCGGCCCCCACACCCCCCCTCAGCCGCTACCGGCCCCTCACCAACACCCCGTCCCAGGAGGGGCTCTCGGGGGCCCCCGCGCCCCAGTCCTGCCCCAGCTCCGACAGCCCCCCCGGCTTCGCCCGCCGCCACCCCCGGCCCCGGCAGCACAGCGAAGGTGAGACCCCCCCCAGACCCTGGGGACACCTGGAGGGGACAGAGGGTGACAGCCCAGTGCCACCCCTGCAGATGACAGCCGGGACATGAGCCCCCCCTCGCCCGCCAGCCCGACCGTGGGGCTTGACAAGAAAACGAGGAGGAAATTCTTGGATTTGGGGTGAGAGCTCAGCCTGGGCAGGGGGGAGGGACGGGGAGGGACAGAAGGGACAGGGGGAGGGACAGAGGGCTGGGGGAATGGAAGGGGATGGATGAAAGGATGGAGAAGGGCAATGGAAAGATGGAAAAATAGATGGAGAGTTGGGGGACGGTGGAGGGATGGATGGATGGATGATGGAGGGATGGATGATGGATGGATGATGGATGGATGATGGATGGATGGATGGATGGATGGATGGATGGATGGATGGATGATGGATGGATGATGGATGATGGATGATGGATGGATGATGGATGATGGATGGATGGATGGATGGATGGATGATGGATGGATGATGGATGGATGGATGGATGGATGGATGGATGGATGGATGGATGATGGATGGATGGATGGACAGATGGACAGACAGAGGGAGTCCTGCTGCCCCAGCCTTCAGGTCACCACCCCTGTCCCCAGGGTGACCCTGCGCCGGGCGTCCTCTGGGAAGAGCCGCAAGGAGAAGAGCAGCAACCGCCTGTCCATGGGCAGCAGGTGAGGGGCTGCCCTGGGGCAGGGGCACACCTGGGGACACCTGGGGACAGCCTGGGGACAGCCCTGACACTGCTGTGTCCCCAGGGATGTGTCAGAGGGGCCCGGCCGCCCCTCGGGGTCCCCGTTCCTGCCCTTCTCCTGGTTCTCAGACAGCACCCGGGGCTCGCCCGGCCCCGCGTCCCCCGCGGGCTCCCCCCGGCACGAGGGGCTCAGCCCCCCCAAATCCGCCTCACAGGTGAGCCCCAGACATGGGCACAGGCCTGGGGACCCCATGGGCTCTGAGAGAGGAGGTGACACCAGCTCTGGGGACAAGGCACAAAGCCCCATAGGGTCAGGAAACAACAGGGAGAGGACTCAAAGCTCCACCGGGTCAGGGGGGCTTTGTGGGGGTGTCAGAGCCCTGTAGGGTCAGGACAGGAATTGGGGGTGTCCAAAACCCTTTAGGATCGGGGTGGCTTTAGGGGAATCAATGCTCTGAGGGGGCTGGCAGCCAACTGGGGGGCTGCAGAGGGTCACTGGGGGCTGTGGGGTGGCTCTGGGGGTCACTGGGGTGGCTATGGGGGTCTCTGGGGGCAGTGAGGTGGCTCTGGGGGCAGTGAGGTGGCTCTGGGGGTCTCTGGGGACTGTGGGGTGGCCCTGGGGACAGTGAGGTGACTCTGGGGGTCTCTGGGGGCAGTCAGGTGGCTCTGGGGGTCTCTGAGGTGGCTCTGGAGGTCGCTGTGTGTCCAGCCCCGTCCCTCCCTCTGCCCAGGACTCGGAGCTGAGCGAGGATTCGCCACCATCTAGCGCCAGCCCCCGCCTGCCCGGCGCCCCCAAGTGCTCGTACCCCTACCACACCCTGTCCCAGTCCTCGGACGAGGTGAGAGCGGCGCGGGGGGCGCGGGGCCGGGGCTGTGTCCCCCCCACCCCGAGGTGGCCCGGGGACCCCCGGCTGACCCCCGTGCGCAGCTGCTGGAGGAGCCGGCGGGCGCGGCCGCGGGCTGGACGTGCGGCCAGGTGGGGCAGTGGCTGCAGAGCCTGGGCCTGGAGCGCTACGTGCGGGAATTCGCCGAGCGCGGCGTGGACGGGCCCCGCCTGCTGCTCCTCGACGGCGCCAAGCTCAAGGTGCGGGGCCGGGGGGGTGGGGGTTTCAGGGACCCCCAAAAGATGGAGGGAGAGAGGTTCTGGGTGCTCCAGGGGGGGAATCTGTGGGGCAGGAAGGGCTGGGAGGGTTCGGGGTGCTCCAATTCCCTTGGACAGGAAGGGCTGGAAGGGTTTGGGATGCCCCAATTCCATGGGGCAGGAAGGGCTGAGAGGGTTCGGGGTACCCCAATTCCATGGGGCAGGAAGGTCTGGGATGGATCGGGGTACCCCAATTCCCTTAGACGGGAGGGGCTGGAAGGGTTTGGGATGCCCCAATTCCATGGGGCAGGAAGGTTTGGGATGGTTCAGGGCACCCCAATTTCATAGGGTAGGAAGGGCTGTGAGGGTTCAGGGCACCCCAATTCCATGGGGCAGGAAGGTCTGGGAGGGTTCGAGGTGCCCCAGAGGGGGGATTCTGTGGGGCAGGAAGGGCTGGGAGGGTTTAGGGCACCCCAAAGTGGGGTTCCATGGGGCAGGAAGGTCTGGGATGGGTCAAGGAACCCCAGACTGGGTTTCCATGGATATCCAAACCCCATTGTCCGAGCTGGCCGCTCCATGGGCTGGGATGCCCGGGTACCCCAAGGGACGATCCCCAGGGAGGGCCGGGCGTTCTGGGGGACCCCAAGGAGCCGCTGTGCGGGGAGGGTCCCGTCCCGGGGGGTGTCCGTGCCCAGCCCGCGGTGCCGCAGGCGCTGGGCGTGGGCAGCTCCCAGGACCGCGCGGTGCTCAAGCGGCGGCTGAAGGAGCTGAGCCTGGCGGCCGAGCGGGAGCGCAAGGCCCGCGACAAGGCGGACAAGCAGCGCGACAAGCTCAAGAAAAAGGACCAGGAGCAGCGGAGGAGCTGAAAACCTGCGGGGGTCCCGCAATCCATCCCCAGCCACAGCCCCCCGGGACACACCCCGGGGACACGGGGCACGGCCAAGGGCACCTGGGACACCCCCAGCCCGTCCTGCCACCCCCACCTGGCACCACTCCCAGCCCCGTCCCCACCCCGCACCCCCAGCACAGGAGGGGATGGGGCACAGCCCGACCCCCTCCTCACACACGGGCACCCCCAAATCGGGGGCAGGGAGGGAATCCCGCCCCCACCACAGCCCCAAACGCGGCCCCCCGAGGCCACCCCAGGAAATAAAAGGGTATCAAGGGCCAGTGCAAACTGGAGTGACCAGTGTCACCTGACTGGGGGGCACAGAGCAGCGCCCCAGGCCCCCTGTCCCCAAGTGCCACCCCGGGACTGAAGCCTCAGCCCCCTCCCAAGGCTGGAGGAGGTAAACTGAGGCACCAGGGCCCCAAACCACCACAGGGGTTCAGTCAACATCGAATTTATTGACAGTGGGGAGGGGTCTGGGGAGGAATTTGGGGAATGGGAGGGGGGGCTTGAACAGGTCACAGCAAGTGGGGGGGTGGGGACAGCTCAGTAGTGCAATAACAGAGGGGGAGCAGGGACAGGAACGTGGGGAAGGAGGGAGGGAGGGGGGCTCAGGTCCCCCCACCCCATCAGGGCTGTGGGTGCAGGGAAGTGCTGCTGGTCCTACTGGGACAGGACCAGTCCCTTGCTGGGATGGGGGCACCCCTGGGGCGGCTGGGAGCTTTTGGGGGGGGCAATGAGGGAACAACAGGCACTGCTCCAACCCCCCCAGCTCCGTCCCTAAGTGCCACCAAGGCGGGGACACCAGGACACGCCCACGTCCCACACTTCCCCAGAAGAGCCCAAAGAGCCGGGATCCCAATCACCCCCGGGGGGCGCTCGGGGACCCCTCGTGGGTGCGGCTGAGGGGTCCCGGTGGCCGGGGGGAGCCCGGGGGGGCTCAGGGCACGCGGTAGGTGGAGGTGTTCTTGGGCTCGGTGCTGGGCACGCACCAGTCCCCGGCCTCCTGGCTGGCCTGGTAGTGCCGCCATGCCGACTTGTTGTACACGGGCAGCCGCTCCACCGAGTCCGTGGACAGCGCCTGGGGGGCACGGGGGGGCTCAGCGAGGGTCCCCAGCCCCTCCCCGGGGTCAGTCTGGGGACAGGCACCCACCTTTAGGTAGATGACGGCGTCGGTGCCAAAGCCCTCCATGGAGAAGAGCTGCAGGTCCCCCTGGAAGTACTTGGCGTAGAGGCGGGAGATGGGCAGCCCGTAGCCAAAGCCGGCCTGGGGGGACAGGGAATTGGGGTGGGGGGTCCCCAGGGCTGGGGGAGCACCCCCAGGGCACCCCAGTCTCCCCAGGAAATGCCAGGAGTGTCCCTGGCACTATCAGCGGGAATGGTGGCACTGCCAAAGGGGTCCAGAATGGCCACAGGGGGACCCTGCCACCCCCATGCTGCCATAAAGGGTCCCCATGCCACCCCAAAGTGTCCCCATGCCACCCCAAAGTGTCCCCATGACACTCCAAAGGATCCTACTGCCACCCTAAAGTGTCCCCATGCCACCCTAAAGGGGGCCCCTGCCACCCTAAAGTGTCCCCATGCTACCCCTAAGGTTCCCCACATCACATCCAAGCCAACTGAAGCGTCCCCACGACACTTCCAAGCCATCCACCAAATGTCCCCATGCCAGCCTAAACGTCCCCAAAAGGTGCCAGGCCAAGCCCAAACTCCCAGTGCCGCCCCAGCCTACCCCAATCACCCCCAAAACACTCCCAGGCCACTCCAGCCCCCCTCAAACGCCCCCAACCCCCCTGAGCTGCAGCCCCCCCCCTCCCCACGAAGCCCCCAGCCCCTGGGGGGGGTCACGTACCAGGGGGGCCCCCCCAGAGCCCAGCTGGGGGGTGGGGGCTGTCGAGTACATGTAGCTGAAGAGCCGCTCGATCTTCCTCAGGGGCACCCCCATGCCCCTGTCACTCATCTGGGGACACCACAGCGGGTGACAACCCCGTCCCTGCGCCCCCTCCCCACACCCCGCAGCCCCCAGGGTGGGCTGGGGTCCCTCCCCAGGGTGGACAGGTCCTGATACCCCTCAGGACAGGGCTGGGGTCCCTCCCCAAGGTGGACAGGTCCCCAAACCCCTCAGGACAGGGCTGGGGTCCCTCCCCAGGGTGGACAGGTCCTGATACCCCTCAGGACAGGACTGGGGTCCCTCACCCGGATGGACAGGTCCCCAAACCCCTCAGGACAGGGCTGGGGTCCCTCACCCGGATGGACAGGTCCCCAAACCCCTCAGGACAGGGCTGGGGTCCCTCACCCGGATGGACAGGTCCCCAAACCCCTCAGGACAGGGCTGGGGTCCCTCACCCGGGTGGACAGGTCCCCAAACCCCTCAGGACAGGGCTGGGGTCCCTCCCCAGGGTGGACAGGTCCTGATACCCCTCAGGACAGGGCTGGGGCCCCTCACCCGGATGGACAGGTCCCCAAACCCCTCAGGACAGGGCTGGGGTCCCTCACCCGGATGGACAGGTCCCCAAACCCCTCAGGACAGGGCTGGGGTCCCTCACTTGCATGGACAGGTCCCCAAACCCCTCAGGACAGGGCTGGGGCCCCTCACCCGGATGGACAGGTCCCCAAACCCCTCAGGACAGGGCTGGGGTCCCTCACCCTGATGGACAGGTCCCCAAACCCCTCAGGACAGGGCTGGGGTCCCTCACCCGGATGGACAGGTCCCCAAACCCCTCAGGACAGGGCTGGGGTCCCTCACTTGCATGGACAGGTCCTGATACCCCTCAGGACAGGGCTGGGGTCCCTCACCCGGATGGACAGGTCCCCAAACCCCTCAGGACAGGACTGGGGTCCCTCACCCGGATGGACAGGTCCCCAAACCCCTCAGGACAGGGCTGGGGTCCCTCACCCGGATGGACAGGTCCCCAAACCCCTCAGGACAGGACTGGGGTCCCTCCCCAGGGTGGACAGGTCCCCAAACCCCTCAGGACAGGGCTGGGGTCCCTCACCCGGATGGACAGGTCCCCAAACCCCTCAGGACAGGGCTGGGGTCCCTCACCCGGATGGACAGGTCCCCAAACCCCTCAGGACAGGGCTGGGGTCCCTCACCCGGATGGACAGGTCCCCAAACCCCTCAGGACAGGGCTGGGGTCCCTCACCCGGATGGACAGGTCCCCAAACCCCTCAGGACAGGACTGGGGTCCCTCCCCAGGGTGGACAGGTCCCCAAACCCCTCAGGACAGGGCTGGGGTCCCTCACCCGGATGGACAGGTCCCCAAACCCCTCAGGACAGGGCTGGGGTCCCTCACCCGGATGGACAGGTCCTCCTGGCCCAGGGCCACCATCACCCTGATGGCCGGCAGCCGGGGGCTGTTCTCGTGGCTCTCCACCGTGGCTCTCATGGCATTCTGGGGACACAGAGCCCCGGGGAGGGGGTCAGGGGGTCCCCCAGAGCCCCCCCCAGACCCCCCCAAAGGGCTGGGCTACCTTGAAGAGCTCGAAGAGCATGTGGTACAGGTGGGACGGGACGTAGACGATGCTCACGGGCTGCTCCGCGTTGCAGGCTGGGCAGGGGGGACACTGGGATTGGTGGGGACAATCCTGACCCCAAAGCTGCCCCAGCACTAAATGGGTCACCCAAGAACCCCCCACCACAGGGACCCCCAAACCTAGAGAAGCCAAGGATGCCCCAACCCTAAAGGAGCTGAGAACCCCCTGGAATTGGGACCCTCAACCCAGAGCAAGCCACACAGAAACCCCCTGCCCCAGGGTCCCCAGCCCTAAAGGAGGCACCTGAGAACCCCCAACCCCAAAAAAGACACCTGAGAATGTCCAACCCCAAAGGAGGCACCTGAGAACCCCCAACCCCAAAGGAGCCACCTGAGAACCCCCAACCCCAAAGGAGCCACCCATGATCCCCCTGCCCAGGTCCCCATTGTCCCTTCAGGCCCTGTCACCTCACTGCCACTGTCCCCTCACCGTTGACCTCCTCGATCTCCAGCTCGGGTGAGGCCATGTAGTATTTGTCACACAGCAGCTTGGCCATGTTGTAGGCATCTGGCAAAGATGGGGACAGAGGGCTCAGCACCCCCAGGACCAACAGGGGCAGCCTTTGGGGTCCCCCCACCCCAAACATTCCCCATTCCCGGGACATTCTTGGGGTCTCCTACAGCGACTGCACAGCTCAGGGGACAGTGTGGCTGAGGTCACCCCAAATCTGTGACATGAGTGGTGCCAGGGGGGGCGTTCAAGCAGCCCCCACCCCCCAAACTGCCCCCAGATGCTGTGGGGTGGGACCCCAGACCCCCCCAGACCCCACCAACCTCTCACCACGTTGGCCACGTTGCAGTGGGGGTCGATGCTCCCGATGTGTTTGGGATGAGCGGGGTTGGTGCTGCCATCGAAGAGCAGGGCTGGGGAGGGGACAACGAGCTGGGGACACCCCAGGGACACCCCCAGGGCACCCCGGGGCTGTGGGGGGAAACATTTGACACCAGGGAGATACCCAAGACAGGATCCCTGGGGTTGGTGGGGACATTTTGGGGACACCCAGTGATGATGGGGACCCTCAGGACAGACTCCTGGGGTTAGGAGGGGATCCTTGGGGCAGGGAGAACCTTGGGGAGAGAGACTTTGGAGAGCTCTCTGGGGCTGGGAGGACCCTCAGGACAGAACCCTGGGGATGGGGGGACACTCTGGGGACACCCAGTGATGATGGGGACCCTAAGGATGGACCCCTGGGGCTGGGAGGACCCTCAGGACAGACCCCTGGGGTTGGGGGAGACCCTGAGGACAGACCCCTGGGGTTGGAAGGACACCTGGGACAGAGCACTGGGGTTGGTGGGGACCCTCAGGATGGACCCCTGGGGTTGGAAGGACACCTGGGACAGAGCGCTGGGGTTGGTGGGGACCCTCAGGACAGGCCCCTGGGGATGGGAGGACACTCTGGGGACACCCAGTGATGATGGGGACCCTCAGGATGGACCCCTGGGGCGGGGAGGACCCTCAGGACAGACCCCTGGGGACACTCTGGGGAGTCCTGGGGACACCCCAGTTTTGGGGACCAGCCAGGACCCCCCCAGGGCGAGCAGGCCCCCAGCCCCTCACTGTGCTGGTTGATGAGCATGCGGATGGAGATGCGGCTCAGGTAGAAGCGGTCCAGGAAGTACTGGATGTTCTGGTTGGACACGGGGTCATCCCCGTACGTCTCCTTGTACTCGATCACCCCCTGTGCCATGGTGGGG